TTTTTCCGGATTGGCACTATAGAAGAGTATTGAACTCTTTTTTTTTCCGGATTGGCACTATAGAAGAGTATTGAACTCTTTTGGAGTTGAGTCTGTGTAGTTTGCAATTCTTTTACTTCTATTTTGTATGTCACAGTTTTGTCAACCTGGAGTAACTTTTTTTTCCTTTTTGGGTTTTTGATACAAGGTAGTTCTTTGTGTAACAGCTCTGGCTGTCCTGGAACTCACTCTGTAGACCAGGCTGGCCTCAAATTCACAGAGATCCACCTGCCTCTGCCTCCTGAGTGCTGGGATTAAAGGTGTGCTTATACTGTGTCCAACCTGGTTAATCTTAAGAAGTGCTTAGATGATTAATGAAGCATACATCTTGGTGTGCATTTGAAAACATTTATGGAAATGGTTAGATTATTGTGACTCTGACCTAATGAATATATTAATCCTCTAATAATGGATAATTTAATGGAATCACTGTTAGGTAGGACCTAGTTGGACCTAATGGTCACTGGGGTATAGCCTTTGATGCTGTTTCTTGTCCTGGCCCCTTTCTGCATTCAGTGGCTCTGCTTCCTGGCCACTATGACATAAACTACCCTATCCTGCCACACCCCCTCCACAATGAACTGATGTTTCTAAAACTGTAAGCCAAACATATCTTTCCTCTTTTAAGCCTCTTGATGTGGGAACGCCTTCAGCCAGCAGCCTTTAAAATACCAGCCCACTTGGGCATAACCTTTCATCCTATAAATGCCCATGTAAAGGTTAGCAGATAGAGTATCTCTCCAGGAAGGCAATATGTAGGACATTCAAACAATGTCAAAGATTGAGATGTTATTTTTACTGAACAAATTTCATAACATGGAATTTTATGTGAAGATTAAGCAACAGATGCTAAATTAATCAATGAGGGCACTATAACAATACACAGGACAGGCGATTCAGACTTTATAAAAGGCAGTGGTAAAAGATTTGAAACAATTAAGGAAATTATTGGAGTTGATGAGCAGGGAGAGAAGGTACAAGGACAGGATTTAACATTGCCAATACATGTCAGAGCCAGGGATGACTTACCCAGGGTTTTAGCTTCCTACACTGTAATAACCTCTGAAAAAGCATCAAGTTCTAAATGCCCAAAAGGATTCAAAGAATATAGATGGATACCTATAGGTGTGAATGATTTAAAAGAAATTAAGCAAGTAGTAGTATCTTACGGCTTGCATTCACCATTTGTTAGGGAGATGGTAAAGACATGGGCTTCTAGCAATAAGGTTATCCCACATGATTGACTTCAATTAGTTTCAGGAGTCCTAGAAGACAGGTCACAACTACCGTAGAAATGCTATTGGGAAGAAGAGGCAAAAATTTTGGAAGAACAGGGAAAAGAAAAAGGATTTGAGGCTTCCCAAGATCAAATTCTTGGTGAGGGCTATTACTCAAATCTAAAGGACCAGGCTCTATATGGCAAACACATCTGTCCCTATGCAGCACAACAACTTTATATGCTTGGGACAAGTTTCAGGAACAAGGAAAGAGAATTGAATCATATACCAGGGTTAAACAAGGCCAAAAAGAACCCTTTAGTGACTTTTTACAAAGATTAACTAAGACTGTACAAATAGGAGTGACAGACCCAGAAGCCAGACAAGGACTTATTGAATCTCTGGCATTTGAAAATGTCAACTTAGAATGCAAAAAGATACTTGGACCTTTAAAGGTTAGATCAGCACCAATGGATGACTAGATCCTGCATATAATGAACATTGAGACATTTGATTATAATACTGAGGCTTGAATAGGAGAAGCAATTTCCAAAGCATTGAGGAGTCATCAAAATGCCAAATGTTTTAGTTGTGGTAGAATAGGACATCTGAGAAGGAACTGTAGACAAGGAATTTCTAGAAATAATGTCTGATGATGGAAGTTACAAAATAATCCCACACTAGTTCAGAATTATGTATGATAAAGGGTTATTTTTTAGAGGTAGACTCACAGATCACAGTTCTAGATCACAGTCCTCTGCATGAATGGGGAACAGCAACTGAATCCAGCAGCCAGAAGTGAGAGAACAAGTGCACTCTTTATAGCTACATTTATAGTATAAGAGACCACGCCCAAGTGGGCTGGTATCTTAAAGACTATTGGATGAAGGAGGTCCCACAGCAAATGCTCCTCTGGGAATGGCAAAAATAGAATGTCTCAACCTTCTGAATTATGTAGAAAATGTGGCAGAGGTCGACATTAGATCAATGAATGTAGATCAACAAAAGACAGGCAAGGCAACCCAATACCATCAGGAAACTCCTCAAGGTCTCTCACAGGTTCTCAAGTCAAATGTCATCCAGTCATTTCCAGTCACTGTGGAGGACAGGTCTCACCAGAAAAACTAAAAAAAATCTGTTGCTTACTGTGGACCATACTGTTCTGAATGATGGGATAAATATGGCAGATGAATCAAGAATTCCAATAGAAAATAGGAAGCATATATTGTGGCAGACTTCTATAAATGATCAAAGACCAAAGTTAAGAGCGTGTATAAATGACAATGTAATTGAGGGATTACTAGACAAGGGTGGAGACGTGATTATCATTACTCCAGAATCTTCACATCTGAACTGGCCTTTTCAGGAGGCGGATGTTTAATTCCTAGGAATTGGAACCATACCTCAAGTGAAGCAAAGCTCGAGATTTGTTGAAAGCATAGGGCCAGAAGAACAGAGAGAAATTCTGAGGCCATATGTAGCTAATATTGCAGTAAATTTATGGGGTTATGACCTGCTACAACAATAGAATACTCAGATTAACATTTATGCAGTTCCAAAAACTTATGTTTTGGGGAAGGATATTATAAGATACTATACACAAAGGTCATCATTCAGGCTATACAAGAACACAGAGTAACTAGCAAACCTTTAGATGTACCAATGGCCCTACTTTTAAAATGGTTAACTGAGAAACTAATATGGGTTAAACAATGACTTTTAGTAGAAGAGAAACTTCAAGCTTTAGAAAAAGCTGGTACAGGAGCAACTAAATGCTTGCCATATTGAAGAATTAACCAGTCCTTGGAATTCTCCTGTATTTATTGTTAAAAAGAAATCTGGAAAATATAGAATGGTGACAGGTCTAAGAGCTGCCAACAAGGCAATTCAACCTATAGGCCCTCTAAAATCTGGAATTCCTTTGCCTTCCCTATTACCTAAAAGATGGTCTCTTATAGTTATTGATTTAAAAGATTTTTTCCTCACTATACCTTTACAAAAAAAGGACAGAGAAAAAAATTGCCTTCACTGTGCCTACTTATAATAGGAGATATCGATGGACCATCCTCCCACAGGGAGTGCTCAATAGCCCTACTCTGTGCCAATACTTTGTAAGTCAGCCATTGGAAATAATATTAATGTAAACAACTTCCTAAATCTATAATTTATCATTACATGGATGACATATAATATCATTTGATTTTTTTTTGCTATCTGATTCAAACGTAGATACTTTTAGGAAGAATGTTTGAAGAAGTAAAGAAATTTTTTCCTAAATGGAGAGTACAGATTTCTCCTGAAAAAATACAAAGAGGAGATTCTGTCAATTACTTAGGTTAAAAAGTATGTTTACAGAAAACTAGAACACAAAAGGCACAAATTAGAAGAGACGAATTGCAGACTCTTAAAGATTTTCAAAGATTGTTAGGAGACATTTCTAGTCTATGAGCTGCTGCTGGATTTGGTTCCTGTTCATCATTCATGCAGAGGATTGTGATCTGTGAGTCTACCCCTAAATAAATAACCAGTTGATATACTCAATTATGAGCTAGTGTGGGATTATTTTATAGCATCCATCTTTAGCCTCTTTTTTCAGATGTTTAATCACAGACAAACAGAGAAACAAGCAAAAAACTAACATAGTTTCCTTAATTGTTAATCACTTCTGGCAAAGGTAAAGATTTTATTCACAGAAAGAAGCTGAAAGTACTGTTTATAGTTACCCCTCCAAAGATTAAGGAGTCTCTAGTTCTGTTAAGATGGCTAATATAGTTTCATAGAAGTTTCTGTGGAGTAGTAGAGAATTGATTGATAATGCTTCTAATTTAAAATTATCTCATTAAATTAGTGGGGGAAAGTTTCAATGAATAAGAATACTTTAAGTATGAAAGCATTCCAGAACTAGAGTTAACAAATATTTAAACCAATCTTATAGAATACACACCATATCAAACACTCTACAAAAATTTCTTGACATTTATTTTGAAACTTTTTCTCAAAGTCATTTTAATAGTAGATGTAGTTAAAGGTTCTGTAATAATGTGTGTGTGTTGTGTGTGCTACAGACCTATAATCTCAACATCCCTGAGGCAGAGGCAGGAGAGTCACTGCAAGTTTGATGTCAGACCATGCTACACAGTAAGTTTTGAGGCTAGCCAGGGCTACAAACTCTCTCAAAAATAATCCAAAAAGCTTTTATGTAAAACAGATGGCAGCATTTTATACATTTATAACACAAATTGTATAGAATATAATGTTGTAAAGAGTATTGGAGAGCTAATACCTAGACTATTAAGAAAAATATTTGATAATGGAAATAAAATTTCTTCTGGATCTTGGTTCAGAAAGTTGACGTAATCCACTTCACTTGTGAAAAGTGATTTGATAATTCATGTCAATGCAATGGCATAAGCAAAATTATAAAGCAGAGATCAATGATCCCTGAAGGGGATAAAAGTGGGGCAGTAGGAGGGCAGTCCAACCCCAGTCACACTGAGTTCTGAAACAAAGCTGTATAGGGACAGTGGGGTCAGAACAAGATATTCTAGAGTTAGGTGTTCTTTATAACTTTGTCTTTAAAAATAATTTTATTTTTGTTGTTGTTACTATAAACCAAACACAGAGCCTTAAGTTTGCTAGGTAAATACTTTGTCATTGAGATAGATCTCTATAGTTACTGTTTATATAGAAGTGCTTGTTGCTAAGCAGCTAAATCTAGAATTTAGTCATGAGATAGACAAAGGGGGTGAGGGAGGGGCTGCATTTCTTTGTTCTATGAGGCTACAGCTACAATCTTCTGTTGACTGATAGGGGTCACACAAACCACCTGACAGAAAGGGCCATGGCAATAATTGTTTTCTGCTGCTATGTCATTCATGCAGTTTGACTCTGTGTGTAAGTTGGTACCTAGAATGGTCTATTGGATAATGTGACATTTCTTCATTTTTGCTTTTCTTTCCTTTTAAGTATGTGAGTGACATAAACACAGATAGGTGGTAGAGGGTAGAGGAACTGAGGATAGCTATAATGGAGCATGACTTTTAAGTTTTAAAAGCAGGTTAGATCTGAGCAAATCTGGGTGAAATGGTTGATTACCTTAATTGTCAGTAAAGATCGGGTAAAATAGAAGATGAAGATACAGAAGAAATAATGAAAATTGGTAGACTCAACCCCTAAGTAGGTCAGAGATACAATATGGACCAAAACGTACAGGGCTAATACCTGAATCAAGGGGATTCTAGACAGACCTCTAGAGAGGTCTAGTGAAGTGGTTCAGCAAGCAAAGATACTTCTACTCGAGCCTGATAACCTCGATAGATCCTCACTTCTCATTGAAAAGTAGAAGGAGATAACAGACTCTGTGAAGTGTCTTCTGACCTTCATATGCATGCCATGACACACTGACTGCCATAATAATAAAGGTAAAAATTAATCTATGGGAGAATCACTTCTCCACTGACACTGCAATGAAAAAGTCAGATAGAATAAAGGTGAGTATTGCATGGATTCAGATAGGCTTAAAAAGTGAAAGTCCTAAAAACCATTTCTATCTTTGAATTTTTACTATTGAGAGTCACACATTCAACCTGCCAACTCCTGTTTGACACAATCTGAGTATCAGTATGAGTGGGGACTTTACAGAATGCCCTCTGGTAGTTGTATTATTTTCTTTTTAAAAAACTACACATCATGATCAACTAAATTAACGCCAGAACCCTCTAAATGAATTGGCCCAAGTCAACAGGCTTTCACACAAGTACCTATCTAAATGATAGACAGGGCATGGCATGCTGAGGTGTTAGAGAAAGGAGAAAAGCATGTATGTCTTGAGGAATTTGAAATAGTGGGAAAGTTACATAATATGTGAAGGAATAAGCTTGATAGTCTGACAATGTTGAAGAATATAGGCAACTGTGACTGCACTTTGCATCGTCAATAGTAGAGTGATATTGGTTTTGTCTCTGTAGTTCTAGCAAGGGCAGCAAAGAGTCTTCTGTAATGGTTGTATTTCTTTTCCTCTTGCTGCCTGCTCGAAAGCTAAGCTCCAGGAAAAGGATTGGTGGGATGAAGGTTTACATTGTATCTTGGCCTGGGGGACCAGCCTCCAGCAGCAAAGGGAAGTCCACAGAGTTGGTAAATACTAGACTACTTTTTCTTGTTTTCCTTCTAATTTTAACTCTCTTATTCTTGATGTCTCCCTTCTTATTCACTTTAACTCTTTCTTTATTCTTTCCCTTATAGCTTATATACCTCAGGAAAATCTTTCGGGCAATACAAAAATTACAATGTAGCTACCTTTTGTTTTTCAAGTCAATTATCACAATGAATACAAGTACAAAAAGGCATGTTTTCCATATCCCTTACATGATTAAACGTATTAGGTATTACAGGTGAAAAACAAATTATCCCAAGAGCCCAAGTACATTCATACCTAAGCAATTTGTTACAGATTAACTGTGTAGGAAAACAAGGTATTCTTCTCAGTCAGGTCTTTTATTAGCAGGCTGCTTTTTGCAGTTACAAAGAAAAGACCAATTACTTTACCAATTATCTTGAAAGCCAATCTTATAAAAAAATCTTAAAGGAATTACGAACCTAAACTTTTATACAGGAAAAAGAATTTGAACTTTAAACCTTTAGGATGTAATAGTCTTTTAATATCAGGAGATTGAGGGCAGAAATGGGTATAAGGAATTAATCATCACCTTTGATCAATAACAAACCCTGGCAAGGAAAGTACATCAGCTATTAATAATCGGATTGCTTGTTCCTTGACCTTAAAGAGTTCCTCACTCAACTATGTGCCTTTCTAAAACTTAAAATTGTCTTCTTGGGTTTTTCACCTCAAAGCTGTTATCAGAACATCTGACCTAACCTGAAGTTATTATAAAGCTTTGTTTCAGCTAATGATGCACATCAAAACATGTGACTCCATCTTTCAACATTAAGGTTAAAAGAATTTAAGCTATCTGGGCTACTGGGACTCAATTGTTTTTCCTAATCACTAACCTAAGCCACAGTCTATATGACTACTCAGTAAAAACTCATGTGTTCTAGCTGTGTGACACCCTCTTGTTTATAAATTTTATCATCAAAACTCTATCTAAACTAGCATTTTTTATCAGTTAGACAATACAACTTAAAAAGAAATCATCTTCATAATAATCATAGGTAAAAATGCCCCAAAGAACAGGGTATTTCCGTGAGATAAACACACTACATGAAAAGTAGTGGGTTTCTCCCCATACCCATTCATACCATGTCAGATACTAGGGAAAGATGGCAGTGACAAACATGTAAAGGCACAGCAAAAGCGAAAGACATTCTGGAGTCTGTGGTCTAGGTCCCTTGTCTATCTGAGACTTACCCATCAAGGTTATTCCTCCTGCTGGGCTGACACCAACCTCAATTGCCACCTGCTCCTCTGACACCGTTACTGGCAACACTGCTCATCATCCTTCTCCATAGCTCTTTTCTTTTATTGGCTCTTCTGACTCAACATTCTCCCATTTATAACAGTTCCCACTCCAAAATAGGGGCCCTCTTAGCAAGAGAGATAAGAGAAAATGAATCTAGAAGCAACAATTTAATCCAGAGATCTCTGATCTTCTGGTTTTATCTATAATTTTTTGTCAGACTGGGCATGGTGATGCATACCTTTGATTACAGTACCACTCAGGAGCCAGAGGCAGAAGGACCTCTAAGTTCGAGTCTACCCTGGTCTATAAAGCAATTTTCAGAACAGCTAGGGCTAAACAGAGAAACCCTGTAAAAAAATTTCAGTTGTCTTGTGTGTGGTTGGCATCTTGTTAAATAATACTTTTCAAAGATTCTGGTCAAATGGATCCAGAATATTTTAGGAATGTCAATGGCAAGGATATTTTCAGACTGAAACAAATCTGTATTTATGTATCAAACCTAGGACAGATTAAAAAAACCTTTATATTTAAAGTGTACTTGGTTAGTGATTTAACTTTACTGTGATATCCATGAGATGAGAATAGATTTTTCTCTACATGAACCACATGAACAGGAAGATTCAGAACATTATGGGGATTTGAATATAGTATCTATGAAAATAAACAAGGCATCAAAGGATTTGGATGTACACTGATTTAATGTCTCTATTCCTTGGACTGGGAAGGCAGAATACATCATTTCAGTTCAGATTGTACACTCCCTTTTAAAATTTTTGATAATTGTTTTGTTCAGAAATAGCTTTTGTAATAACTTCAATGAAGGAATAAAGAATTTGACAGGATCCCTGTTCTTTTCCCCTACAATGTGTATTGTAAATGGGTATTTTAGTTACATTTCTGTCACTGTAACATAATACTCAAATAATAAAACTTATAAGAGAATAGATTTCTTCTAGGTCAGTATTTTGTAGGTTCCAACCCATGATCAGTCTATGACCAGTCTCTGATGGTCAGACCAGATGGGAATGGTGAGACATGAAATTCCAAGTTGGGGAGTGCAAAAGATAGGAATCAGACAAGTCAGGCTTCCAGAGCTCCCTTGAAGGCACATCTCGGTGAGCCAGAGACCATTCTTCTAACTCGGCCCCACCTTCAGAAGGGCCACACCATCTCCCAACGTCACCTCCATATGATCAGGGCTTTAGACATAGACCTCTAGGCATGCTCAACATAGAAATTGCAGTTGTAGGACATTAGAGTATTAAAGATTTTGATATGTAGGGGTTGAAGAACTGGAACCGGTAAGCCTGGCTCAAATGCATCAGGGACAAAGGCAAAGTGACTGAGAGAAACGAGACCCAGTGAAAGGTGACAAGTACTCAAGTTCTCCCTTAGCTTAAGCGATATATATATATATATATATATATATATATATATATATATAT